CACACACACACACACACACACACACACACACACACACACACACGTGTCCTTCTATAGTGGAAAACTATGGAATGGTTTCCCTAGTTCCTCTACCTATTTTGGGATCTCTTTCTCTCTCTCTCTCCCTCTCTCTCTCCCCCCTCCCTCTCTCCCTCTCTCTCTTCCCCCCTCCCTCTCTCCCTCCCTGCCCCCACTTCCCTCCCTTCTGGCCACATCTAATCATTTATGGTATGGGAAACTCCTCAATCCTCAGGCCCAGTGAATCCCATTCCCAGGAGTTTGAGTCTTAGACAAGAAAAAGAAAGAAGGCCTGGCATGTAGGCATACACCTTTAGTCCTAGGGCTTGGGAGGCAGAGGCAGGTGGTTATCTGTGAGATTAAGGGCAGTCTGATCTACATTGTGAGCCCCAGGCCAGCTATGGCTACACTTACCACTTCCACCTCAGGTAAAGAAGAATTGGTCCCCATTTCCAATCCTTTAAATCTTCTCTGACAGAAGTGCTAGGAAAGGCATAACAAATTGGTCTTTTGACAAATTGCCAATCCAGGACTCCTAAAGGAAGAACAATAGTGATACTAAGGACAAAACACAAGCGACAGCTGAGAAACAGAATTGAAACTGAACTAAAAATTCAGGAAAGTGGGTGACTGTCCAACTTACATGCACCTTCAGAATCCCAGGAAAATACTTCACAAAGAAATCTTTGTTTTAAAAGTTTTAAATCATGATTTTTATATCAGAAAGGCCTCGTGGTTTTTTTGAGTGCAAGGGATGTCAAAGACCCCCGAATTTCTGGCACAAAAGTTAAATATCATAAACATATTTCATTGCTTTTGCTTGCTTTCTATTGCAAGCTTTCATTTGTTTTAAATGCTATGCCTACCAGTATCTTGATTTTTGAGACACACTCTCTCTGTAGTCCTGTAGAACTTGCTATGTAGACCAGGCTGGCCTCAAACTCACAGAGATCCTTCTGCCTCTGTCTCTAGAGTTCTGGGTTTAAAGGTGTGAACCACCACCTGTAGCCCTTGAATTTTTTTAACTGCAAAGTTTTGCCATAATAATCTCATTTAAAAATATAAATCTTTCTGGGTACAATGTCTCTGGTTTATGAAAGCTGCAGTTTCATTTATAAATTAATTTTGTAGAGAATTCTCAAAAAGAAACATGAAAAATATGGTAATTTATTTAGTTTGATTATAATAAAATGATAACAGTGACTTTTAAATTACCAATGGAATTAAATCTAAATTTTTATTTAATTCTAATTGTTAACCTGATAACTCAAAATTCTATACATACAAATACCTTTTTGTCTTTGTCAAATTAAAAAATGAAATCATGTATAAAACTTCATTTTACAGTTTCTATAAATTAGGCCCAAAAATTCAATTCTACAACCAGTAAGATGGTTCAATTGATAAAGCTGCTTGCCACCAAGTCTGATGACCCGAGTTTATTCCCTCACCCTGCATGGTAGAAGGAAAGAACTGAACCAATTCCTGCAAATTATCCTCTGACCACACAGACACACTAAATAAATGTAATAAAAGTTACAAGCAAAAAGTGAACTGGAGAAGGATGACTACAGGCATGAAATGTTGAAGAAATAGCATGCCTCCACATTTGCTGTTAGTAATGTTGGAAGTGGCATCATCCTCAACTCTCCTACTGAGTTATTACTCATTAGCAATACTAAAAATCGTAGGCATTTATTGCATGATGATCACTTTACAAGCATTCTCATCTAATCCTCTCACCACCCGCAGGTGGTTATTACTAGTTTCATCATACAGATAAGGAAACTAAGATTTTCCAGAAACTAATTGACATCTCCAAGATGGCAAAGCCAGGGTTTGACCTCGATGTGTCTGGCATAAAGTTTTGCCTTTAACCTCTACTTCACTGCTTCTTAAAGAAAAAGACGAGAAAAAGAAATCAAAGTTTTATTCTGACAGTGTGGAAGGAAGAGGTTTAAATGGTAAATTGTAATACGTGTCTCCTGACAAATGTGTTCCTCAAAAGTTTTATGAGTTGAAGCTAAAATAAATTTAGATGGGGCTGGTGAGATGGCTCAACAGTTAAGAATGTTTGCTGTTCTTCTAAAGGACATGAGTTCTGTTCCTAGCACCCACATCAGGCATTTCACAGCTTCCTATAACTCCAGGTCTGGGGGATCTGACTCCCCTATCTGGCCTCCACAGGCACCTGCACATACATCACACACATTCACAGGCATAGTCATACATATAAATAAAATAACAAACCTAGAAATATTACAAAAGGAATAGATGTGCTCTAGACAGAGCCCCACAGTTTGATAATAGGATTACCACAGTCCAAGGTTGAGGGTTCTTATTGATGTTTCAAGAAAACTTTCCCAGCAAGACTGAGGTCATCTGGAAAGACCATCAACACAAAGGCAGATTCACATCTCAGGAGAAAACTTCCATTAAACAGACGTAAGGGGTTAGGAATGTAGCTTAGTGCTTGCCTAGCATGCAAAACGTTTCTGGTTCAACTCCCAGTATTAAGGGTATGGGCAACATATGCATCAAAATTAGAATGTCAGTCAGTGTCCAAACATAATTGGAAAACTTTTTTCCTCTGTAATTAAATTTATACTGGAAGCTAAATTCTAATCAGAAGGTGCTTAGTGAACATGGAAACAATGTTCAGGGATTCAGAAACTATTAATAGTTTCAGGGAACTAGTAATCTATCCATCTATACCCATTGATTCATCCACTATTTACTGAGTACCTGCTACTCTATGCTCAGCATTGCTCTTTCTGTTGTTGTTGTTGTTGTTGTTGTTTGTCTTTTTGAGACAGTCACTCCCAATAGCCCCAGCTGGCCTGAAACTCGCTATGTAGACCAGACTGGCCTTGAACTCACAGAGATCCACCTGCCTCTGCCTCTCAAGTGCTGGGATTAAAGGTGTGCAACACCAGGCCAGGCACAGCACTGCTCTTAACACTAAAGAAACAACTGTGAGAGATAAAGTTGTAAGAAAGTTCCCACTCTTAATGAAACCAACATTTTAGTGAAAGAAAAAATCTGAAGATACTGACAAGTGTGCAGAATAGAATTAAGCAAGGTGGGGCTGGAGAGATGGCTCAGCAGTTAAGAACAGAGTGCTCTTGCGGAGGACCCGGGTTCAATTCCCAGCACCTACATGGTGGCTACGAACTGTCCTTAACTATAGCTCCAGGGGAATCCGAACCATCTTCTGACCTCCGAGGCACTGCAGGACATGGGTGCACTCACATACATGTAGGTAATACACTAATACACATAAAATAAAAATAATAAATAAAATAAAAAATGAATTAAGTAAGGTAAGAAGATAAAGGGTTTGATAAGGTGGTCAAGGAATGTCAAGCAGGACATTTGATGTTTGAGGAGGTAAGATATTCAGATATTTGGGATCTGAAAAGGTAAGACAGCAAATTTGTTTGTCAGCAGAGAATGCATAAAGTAGGGCTAAGACCAGAAAAGACCTTTGTCAGCAAAGACCAGACAGGGAGGTGCAGGGAGAAAGTGACAAGGCCCAGGACTTGTTTTTTTCTTGTTTTGTTATTTTATTTTTTTTAGAGAAAGGGTCTTGCTATGTAGCTCTGGCTGACTATGTGGCTCACATTCCTCCTTCTTCAGCCTCCCCAGTGTTAGAATTACAGGCATGCACCACTTGAGGAGTTCTAATCAGAAGTATGACATCATCCAATTTGGAGGAGGCAGGTCTTGTACTGGAGAAGAAACCAAGTACTTTGAGAGTAAAGACAGGTGTAAATGCTAAACTAGATAAGGACATGAGATAATGCTCTAGCATATGGCAAATAAAACTGGTGCTCAAGGCCAGGCATGGTGGCGCATGCCTTTAATCCCAGCACTTGGGAGGCAGAGACAGGCAGATCCCTGTGAGTTCAAGGCCAGCCTAGTCTACGAAGTGAGTTCCTAAACCAGCCGGGGCTATAGGGAGACCCTGTCTCAAATGAGTTCCAGGCCAGCTGGGGCTACAGGGAGACCCTGTCTCAAATAGACCAAAATAAAATAAAAATAGAAAGTTATGAAGAAAGACAATTAGAAGGAGATCAATCAGTGGAAACAGCCATGGAGCGGCAAACTCTCCCCACCTCACTCTAGAAATTAACCCAGATTGTTGTTTATATCAATAGTTTGTTCTTTTATTGCCAAATACTGTTCCTTAGCATAGATGTACCACATTTTCTTTATTTGCCTATTGCTGGGGGCATAGCTCAGTGGTTTGTCTCACACCCATGAGGCCCTGGGTTTGATCATCAGTTTTCAAAAACACAGTTCTTTATTCACCTGTTTAAAGGCATCTGTTTGTAGTTTTCAGTCACTACAAATCACGCTGCCGTAGACATTCATGCACAGCTTTTAAATGAAAATAAGTTTTCATTACTCTAGGATAAGTGCTTTAGGGTACCATTGTTGGAGCCAAACCATAGTTAAATGTTTAGCTTTTTCCCAACAGTAATGTTTGAGTGATTCAGTATCTCTGAATCATGGCCAATTTTTTGTTGTTAATGCTTACGTAATCAATTCCAGCCATTTTTAGGTAGGTATGTAGGGCTATGCCACTGGGATTTCACTTACATTCAACCAACAGCTCATGATATCAACTGATTTTTAATATCGAACAAGTCATGAAACCCTGAAATAAATCACACTTGGTCATGGTGTATAATTCTTTTTTCACATTGCTGAATTTGGTTTGCTAATAAGTTGGTAAGAGTTTTTTAGATAATTTTCTTAATAAGTAATTGATCTTTAGTTTTCTTTTCTATGATTTGTTTGGTTTTGGTATCAAGAGAAGAGTGGCTACCTGAAATAAGTTGAGCTGTGTTCCTTCCTCTCCTCCTTTTCCAGAGAAGATTGTGTATAATTATAACCGTGTTAATTCCTTAATGTTTGCAGTGAATCTCTAGCGAAGCCACCTGAACTTTAAGATTTCTTTTCAAGAGGGTTTTAAATTATTATTTCAATTTCCTTAATAGTTACAAGGTTATTCATGTTATCTATTTTATGTTAGGTAGATTATGATAATTTCTATTGCACTACTGCATTTACCTTTTTTTCTTAATGTCTTATTTCTTGGTTCCCAAGATTCATATATATATATATATATAATTTTTTTGGACTTTTTGAGACAGGGTCTCCCTGTAGCCCCAGCTGTCCTGGAACTCACTATGTAGACCAGGCTGGCCTCAAACTCAGAGATCCACCTGCCTCTGCCTCCCGAGTGCTGGGATTAAAGGCATGCACCACCACGCCCGTTCATTTTTAAATTATTTTTAATTTTATTATTTTTATTTTCTGTGTATGAATGCTTTGCCTGCATGTATGTAAGTGCATCATGTGCATGCAATGCCTACAGAGGCCAATAAAAGGCACTGGATTCCCTGAACTGGAGTTATGGACAGTTGTTAGCCGCCATGTGGATGCTGGGATTCAAACCTCCTCTGGAACAACAGTAAGTGCTCTTAACCACTGAGTCATTTCTCCAGTCCCTATTCCTTCTTTTAT